CTAAGCAATTGGCACTCCTCATCTTTGGGTCTTCATCCTGGAAGACGTACGGATCCAACAGCGGCTAGCTACGACGTCAGTAATTTCATGTGCTGCCGCCAAATGGAAGGCTGACCATCACGCGGTCGCCTCCAGCCAGGTCCTTGACGAGCGAATAGAACGCGACGCGGTAGACGCTCAGGTGCCATGCGAAGGACGTGACCGAGCCATCTTAACTGGCGCAACAAAACCAGTTTGTTGAAGGAAATCCTTGCGTTCCCCAAGATGCGACGTCGAACGTCATTACTGTTAACGATGTCGCCACCAAACACGAGCGATCCTCCTTAAGCAACCGGCATCGAAAGCAGAAAGACGACGCATGTCTTCCACGCGAATCGGCTAGGACTCGCACCCATACAACAATACTGAGCGAACTGATGGGGTGTAAACGCGGCGCTTTAGTGAGAATGAGACGTCACGACGACGCCACAAGTGCCTCAGATTGACAAATGCATATCGAGCTTTAGCGATACGAAGAGAAACTTCTTTGTTGATAGTGCCGTTAGCAGAAACACAGCTCCCAAGGTAGATGAAACTATCTACCTGTTCAAGTTGTGAGGCCACTTGTGGTCGGAAAGCTATCCAATAGGCCACCGTAGACCCTGACGCGGCCTGTAGTGTTCGAGTATGAAGCACGAAGGATGTTCACATATTTCGTGGGAACACCTTTCCGTGCAAGTATTACGAACAGAATCGATCGATCGACTGAATCGAACGCACTCTTGAAATGGAGAAACACAGCTAGTGTCGGTCTGCGGTAGGCGTGGCGCTGCTCTAGCACTTGCCGCAAAGTGAATATATGGTCTATACAGCCATGTCCTGGGCGGAAACCGACCTGCTCTTCTCTAATCCGTGATTCCAGTTCCACAGTGAGGCGACGAATGAGAATCGAGGCCAGTAATTTTGTCACAACTGGCGTTAGGCTAATACCCCTGTGGTTAGAACAGGCTGTGCGACTGCCCTTTTAGTAAATCGCCACTATAATCGATCCGCTCAATTTAGCTGGGACACTTCCTTCCAGATACATTCGAATAAGGAGGTCAGTACTTTGCAGAGGACCTCTCCTTCATCCTTAAATAGTGCAGGTGGGAGGGAATCTGGGCTAGCGGCACGAAAACGATTGAGGGATATGATCGCGCCTCGGACCTCGGCCTCCGAGGAAGGATCTGAACTAACCGTCCAAGGCTCGTCCTGCATCACCTGAGTAGGAAGAGTTCCGGGAGCAGGGGGGGCAGCTTAAATAATTTGAAGTGTTCCACCCAAAAGAGCCATACGGCGCTCCTTATTGTGTATCAGTGCACTTGCAACTGCCTCTGTTTCAGTGACGTCTGGTTTCCTGGGACCAGTGGTGCGGATCAGCTGAAAGAGCTTGCGGTAATTGCCTACTGCTTCTGCCTCCTCCATTTCTTGAGCCCTACTGGTCCACCAGGCTTCCTTGTCAGCACGCAGGCTCCGCTTTAGTTCGCGCCTAATAGCCTGTCCGGTCACATTGTGCTCAGAGTCAGCCGGGAGTTTTCTTCTGGATTCCAACAGGTTCACCGACCTCCCAGATATCCAGTGACTGATGCGGTGACGATTGATAGTGCCACAAGCAGATGCTCCTGCGTCGTGTATGGTGGCCGAGATCCTATTCCACTGAAGCTCAGTTTCATTAGGACAAGGCAGTGAAAGTTCGGTACGCAGTGCGACTTGATGGGCTTGCCCGACCGAGGGCTGAAACGATGTCTCCGTTGCCAATCGGAGGAGTGCGCCTCCCGGTAAAGTTCATGGAGAAACGACAGCGTACCAAAGCATGAGCAGAGTCGACGCAGTGCTACTAAGAAACAACTGGTGCTCCGCACACAGTTGCAGCAGACGCTCACCGTTGTCAGTTTGTTCGGAGTTAAGCCCACAATTACCACCCAGCTGAGCTTCTGAAGAGTTCTGACGCCCTACTTATGCATTCATATCCCCTGCAAGTACTATAATATCTGAACTAGTAGCACTGCGTAGTAGCGCGTTCAGTTCATCATAGAATGTGTCCTTGACAGCATCTGAACTGCAGTCGGTGGGAGCATAAGTGGAAACAGCGTTTTTCACTACTTCGTGAATCAACCATAGCTGACGTAGTCAAACGGGCTGCATATCAAAGGCTGTTCACCGGAATCAAATCAAACAACGATGGCTCAGCCTTGAAGCTTAGAATGATACCTACACCAGGGTCTCCGGATGCGTGCAACCAATAACGAGAGGATAAGCCGGGTGCAGTTAATTCAACAACCCCGTTAGGGTCATTGATCCTAGTTGCGGACACACAACACCCAGTGTGTCCAAGGTGCGTGCGAGTGAAGCCTGTTGGCCTGTTTGTCTTAGAGTGCGACGTTAAATGTCGCCATGGAAACGGGATAGCGTGGCCTTATAAGGGACTTTTGCCGATAGGAGTCAGATAGGTGCTGTGGGATGGTGGCTGCAATGATTCTAAGAAATAATAAATGATAATAATGTGTCATCTGTATGCCGTACCGGCGCTTCGCTGCCGCGCGACCCCCACCAGTCGAGCGCGGGCTGAGTATACCGCGAGGACGCCCACTCCCACGCGGATTGGAACCAGTGACTTTATGGTTGCAAACCAAACGTGCAGACCACTCGGCCACCTGCCAACTCTACTCCAGTGGCACTTAGGTTGCCGTCAATTAAGCAGGGAATTATAGGAAGGTTAGTAATAGGGGTCGGGATGAGAGTAAGAGAAACAGGTGGAAAAGTAAGAAGGGAGGCGCCAGCAGTAGCCAGTTTTCGCTTGTCCGCCCTGCTGTATGCAGCAGATAAGGCGACTCTTGATAATCTGCGCGACGGCCGATGCACGATGAACTTAATGTTTGAAGAAAATGTCATGGTTGTATGTGAGCTGGGATTATGAAAGCGCGCCCAGACCTAGACAGGAGGACGATTAGGGTCCTCATCCAAAGCCTTTGGCTCAAAAGCCTGTCCGCAAGGCGGCGGGGAGGTGGCAAGGATATAATTCTACAGAAATGGACGCCATCTCCTTTCAACCCCCACCCTGGATGACCAGGAGCCTGAGTTTGTCTGAGTTCTCACCATTGACCAACCTGGTAGGAGTAGCTCCCAAGATGCCTGGAGGCAGCATCCAGCATAGCTCAATGGGTCAAGGAAGTACGCAAACCGTCGCACCACGTTAAGGTCCAGTCTCATTGCTACGCCTACAGAGACCATGGAAGGCTTGCGCTGCACCACCCACAGCTCTAATCACAAACCCCATATCCAGGGTAAACTCATAGGAATAAGACCGGGAGACATGTGGATGGGAGCCACGCTTCAGCAACGGAGCCGGGTCACACTCCTTCACAGGCAAGCAAGCACGCTGTACTTGGGGAAACAAGCGCATACAAGTCGGTGGCTGGACCGTAGTCCGCTCCGCACTGAGTGCAAGGAAGCACTTTCCGAGCCTAGCACGGCCACGAGGACCGTGCACTCCGTCCCCTCCAACAACGACCAACAGTGTGCTGGAGCCAGTATAGTCGTAGCGGGTAATAGACAGGTAGGCAATTTTTCAACATGCACATCAAACGCAGCCACACCGGGGATGTCAAGCGACAGCCCGTGACATGAAAGGAAATGTCGAATAATATACAGCGAATATACCGTACGGATATGGCGCTAAATTAGCATATATACATGGATTATCAAAATGGCCGTGAGTCAGGATGGCAGAAAAAGGGATCAAGACACATGTAGGGAAATACTAAGGGCAGTTATTCACCTTTAGCACAAGCGAAATGTGTTACTTAACAAATTATTCAGGTACACATTATAATGAGGTAAAATAATAATAGGACAAGGCAGCAAATCCACCACCTGGAATAAAAAATACTTGGCATGAATTCAAATTCGAGTGGGACTGGAACGATAGGAGAATCCCGTGAATGTTCCATTATGTGTGGATCGCAATCAGGAATCGATGTGTTCAGAGTCCTTGATGGATCTAAAACTGAACACCCGTATCGCATGCTAGCCAACCCGTTAAAGCCCACGTTTCCTGCCCTAGCAGTCCCTGCTGTGGCAGTCACGTGAAGCAAAGGACAGGAAAAGAAATCAAAGGTACAGATTAAGGAAGTTCACTTGAAATAAGAAAACAATACCAAGGCATGAAGAAAAGTAGATAAAAGAAAACCGAAATATGAAGATGCGAGTTACTCAGGAAAGGTTTCGTGCTGCCACGCAAGAGCGTCAGGTTGCTGCTCAAACCCCTTAACCATAGATTCCCTGATAACACTTTCCGGAAGCATGTTCCAGCACTTAAGTAAGCGCGCGGTTAGTAAATCGAATGCAGCGTATCTAGCAACGCTGCACTGGCTCTGCTTACGTTCTCATCAGGACTTGTCGTTGTTTCGATGCTGCACCCGCGTGGCCTCGCTAGTGGCTCACTAAACCTGCCTGACAAGCATTCGCGATCGCACGTGCTACAGCGAGATGCGCTCGAAGTCTGTGGAGTACAGCCCATTGGCGCCTGTCGCTTCCGCAACTGCCGCTTCTTCTCTGCATGCACGACGGCTTTCTCTTGCACCTCAGCAACTGCCTTCGGGATCAGACTGCGTCATGCACGCTGATCAAATGCTTTAGATTTCCATGATAGGTGATAGGCCCACTATCAAAGTTAGCTAAATACGTGCAATCTTATTTAACAGCATTTGTGGACACATCACGTCATTTATCTTTATATTAACTTTCTGCGACTGTGAGTGACCAAAAGCACTCCCAAATGGGACGGCTGGCCGTCCATCTGTGCGGACAGCAGCTTTGTGATACGTGATTGCTGGACTTGTCGCTGGGGAGGGACAAAAACTGAAAACCAACACATAATAAGGTTTTTCAGGAATGCGATGCCAGTTTTCTATTGAAGCAAGAGCAAAAATAAACGTAATAACGAAACGGAGTTTAATCGAAAGAGCTCAAATCTTACTAACCTTATCCAACTGCGCTCCAAGATGAACCAATTTTCGCACGGTGTCACGCATGTGTGATTGTAAGGCTAATGAGAGTGGAGTATCATTGTCCTGAGAGTGTTAGGGATAGCGATTGTTACATGCTTACCAGTGTGGGTGGATCGACCAAGGCCCCGTTAGAGCAGAGCATTTCAACAGTGGCAACATGGCCACGCTTGGCAGCAAAGTGTATGGCACGCCACCCGAGCTGAAATTGCAGGTTACGGAAATACAGAACCTACATCCGTCGTCGCATTAGTGTCAGCCTTGTTAGCCAATAGCCATCGGACGACATCCTTGTTACCAAGATGAGAACTAAGTATCAAACCCGTCACGTTTTCATGCTAGAATAATAAACTATAACCTGGCTTATTACTTTGGTATTGTTCAAAACGTAAGTTCCGCGAATGTCTATGTCAACCAAATCCTTTGAAAATTTTTGGATTGACGGAAGATGACCACGCTCTAGTATGTGAAACCATTCCCTTATGGGCGTGCATTTTTCCATAGATTCAATCAAATTACTGAAGTTTTAATATCAACACCTGTAAGAAAACTGGAAGAGTAAGTGTAATTGGGAGTATTACGATAGGAAGGGGAAAGAAAGAAGCATGTTCGGAGGATTTGAGTGCGCGCTTCAAGTAGGCATCAAACTCTAACAAGTTGTAAAAAACATCTCTGCCACCGAGCGTCCAGGCCACGTGTGCACCGCCTGATAAAGTAGTACGTGGTCGCCTATTAAATTCTATGGCATTTTAAAAACGCTTTCTTAAGCTACTCTGTGGCGGTGAATTAAAATTTTAGATTTGCATCTGCTCCTTTTGTTTTCAAAGTACGGTTTTCTAAGCAGAACACAGAAGCATAGTGTTAAACATTGCATTTTTGTTTCCTTTCACCTATTACGTTTTGGATCGTTGTGGTCTTGGGTAAACCCGGGCCCGATCTTTTCCGATGCGTTTTCCGACGAATTTTGAATAATTTCAGCAATATATCTTAAATTACTTATTCAACTTGCGCCTTTTAAACCAAGAAGCTCGCTTGTTTATTGCATCGCAGTTAAAAGCGATTCGGTCTAACATCCTTATTGCTTGTTCATTGTTTTCGTCATCACTGAGTCATGTTCAGTTTCAAGTGGGATTGGAACGATAGGATGAATCCCATAAGTGTTTCTTCTTGAGCGGGTCGTCGATCCAGGAGTTGATAGGGGTGCTCCGACCACTCGATGAGTCTAACAGGAAAACACCCGAAAAACACCCTGGTCCACCAATTTAATGCCCACGTTTCTTACATTAGCTGCCCCTGCTATGTCAGTTACGTGAAGTAAGTACCGTTTCTCGCTCCGGTTGATTCGCTTCCTATTTTTACAGCCTGTACAATGCACGTTGGGTTCAATTGCCTCCAAGTTCAATACTGGCTGTTTTACAACACTGCGACGTGGTGGATGTGACTCGCCTCTCAAGTAAGTCAACGCCCCAAATACGCTTCGTCAGGTTGACCTATACCAAGTTTCATAAATGCTGTGCATATACCTGCTCACGTACGACCACCCCTACATATCTGATCAGTGACATGCCACTATTCTTAAAATGTTTTCGCAGCTTTTTCTTCATTGTTCACTCACCTGACCAGCACTATGTACATCACCTCAGCGGCCCAGTTTCGCACCAACATACTCTCCTGTAAGGATCTAAGTCTTGTCTCTACATCTCCTATTCCGTGAGAATAGATTCCATTCAATCTTTGGGCTACGTGGGTCCGCACTACTTACTAGGTCTGTATTACTCTCGCTCACGATCCTGCTGCTAGTGCTATCATGTACAATCTTGCACTATGCTGATCATGCCCAGAAGCCGTGCCTCGCTTTGTCACGAATAAATATTTATTTAGTTGACACGTCCTTTACGTGTCCTCGGTTACAGACTGGGATCCCAGGCGCCACCCAACAATTGGTGACCCCGCTCCAGAACACGCCCAATATCATTTTAAATTTTCCTTCTGGTGAGACTATTCCAGTGATTTTTTATTCCCTACTTGTAATCATCTCGTTCTCTCACCTACCACCTTTGTTATTCCCTGTTTGACCTGGCTTATTTATAGGACGAGCCATCTCCATACACGGTTAGCGCCGTTGCGCCTGCCTTGGTGAAATCTGTTGCGTTATCCCCTCCTTCGTTATGGTTTTACACATAGAATCGGGCTACTACATTCGCAGGATGTTTTCTGGTTTCTCCATGTTTACTGCATCAATAGTTCGCCTTCCTCATTGCATACCCTCGCAGATAAGAGTCAGCATAATTTGTCCCCCTCTAGTAATGAAACACGAGACCCTTAAGCACGCTAATATTCAGCGTAACGCGCCTTCTGACAAGGTCCGTCTGCAGCAACTTTAAAAGAGTATGCACTTAAGAGATAGGATGCCTTGAGCCTGGTTGCAAAAACAACAGCTCATCAGCAAGTCCAACATGGAGGTAGGGATTCACCGCGAGCTGTGGATGCAACGCATTCCTAAAGCACTCAGGCTATCCCTGCAGCAGCAAGGGACTTGCCACGCACAGTAATTGCAAATCTAGCCGACTGCGTCATGGGACGGCACCAGCCAGCGCATTAAACCAAAGCACCTAAGCAGCTTCTTGTTGGCGCAACCATACCTACACCCGCGACAAACCAACCACCGGCAATAGACGCATTATCGTCGCAGATAGCGTCGCTCCAGCGCCAGATCGTGGAACTCACTTTAAACCGCAAGCAGCACAGCCGCGCTAAATCATCGCCCCGTCGCAGAAACCTGACGCCCCAGGTTACTGCTTTTACCACTCGTCTTGCGATAATAAAGCCCGTAAGTGTGTACAGACATGTAGCCACGTCAATACAGATGATCCGCCACGACGGCCTGTACTGGCCATGGCCGTCGGAAAAGCCCAAATTCTTCTCCTCCACATTAAAATTTATGCTTCTTGGATCCAGTTCTCAGTTGATAGCTAAGCGGAAGTCAGCGGCATTCCCCCTATGCCAGGTAAGTCTATCACTTCTTTATCGACAAGCCTAAGTGCCGCCAATGACATGCCAATAGCCAGCTCGGGTCACCGGTCGCTTACTCTGGACCTAGGTCTTCGGCGCCCTCTCCGCTGGGTCTTCACCTTCGCTTCAGTCCCTCTTGCCATCATCGATCTGGACTTCCACAGGCCTATCGACCTCTTGGTCGATACGAAACGCCAGATGCTAGTCGACAATGCAACGAAGCTTAGTGTACGTAGCATCACCGCCGACATCGCATCTATACCACCGGTCTACGCATTTCCCAAACCTCGCCAGACTACGTCAACCTCTTTTTCCAGTATTCCGAGCTCGTTCAGCCAATGACAAAGCTTTGCCCGTGGCGACCCAAGTAGCGCACCACATACCGACGTATCCATCTCACGTCTCATGCAACTCACGCCAACTATCGCCCGGGAAACTAAAGGTCGCTAAAGCAGTGTTTGAGCACATGCTTGAACTTGGTATAACGCACCCTTCCGACAGCCCTTGGTCCTTTCCCCTGCAGCTGGTCCCCAAGAAGGCTGGTGACTAGCTCCCTTGAGGTGCATACCGAACAATAATTCGGCTAACCGTCCCGGCTCGGTACCCTATCTCAAACATGCAGGACCTTACCTCATGCCTCATAGATAAGAGGATCTTTGGCAAGTTTGAGCTGGTGCGTGCCTAGCATCATATACCTGTGGAAAAATGACAGTCCTAAAACAGCCGTTAGCACTCCTTTCGGTTTTTTGAATTTTTAACAAGGTCATTCGGACTGTGCAACGCCGCACCAGTTTTCTAATGCTTCATCTACCGTGTCATCCATGGCCTAGACTTCGCTTATGCCTACCTCAATGATAGTTTATAAGCCAGCTCATCGGAAAGAGGGCACCTGCATCATCTTCGAACTCTATGCCAGCACTCGACCTAACACGGTGTCACAGTCAACCGGACCACTTGGGAACACGGCAAGTTAACGTTAGTATTCCTAGGCCAACTCATGTCATCGTCTGGTAGCGAAGTTCTTACTGATAAGATCGAGACAATCAACGACTTTTCAGCGCCGACGTCGTGCAAACACCTCCGCCGAGTTTGTGGTTTGGTCATCTATTATCGACGCTTCCTTCCGCACTCCGCTCAGCTAGTGCAGCCTCTGACTGCCCTATTCAGAGGGAATGAATGTAACCTCGCTTTCCCTGACAGCACAGCGAGCTTTCGCGAAGCTCAAGGACGCTGTCTCTAACGTAACCCAAACCGATTATTCAGAATCAACTACAATCCTTCTATTACGACTGTAACCTCAGACGGCGCGGTAGGGGACGTCCTCCAACAACACGCTGCTAGGCAATGGCAAACCACTGTGTTCTTCTTCAAGTGCCTGCAGCCTGCGGAATTCCGTTACAGCACGTTTGGCAGAGAACTGCTCGCCACTTCCCTAGCCAGTCGTCACTTTCATCACACACTCAAAGGCCGCGCTTTCACCGTCTACACAGACCACAAGTCCTAATCTTCGCATTCAACTCTGATCGTGACAAATATGTACCACGAAAAACAAACCACCTAGACTATCACGCGGTTCACTGCTGCCATACGTCACGTTTCAGGTGTCGACAATCCCGTCGCCGACCTTGCGCCATGGCATCGGCCCAGGCTCAACCTGAAGACATGCACTCTGCAGTCCACTTCGCTGCATGTGCAACGCGTTCCTCTTCAAACCACGGAAGGACCCAAGTTCTGTGACACTTCCACAGGTTGTCTTATACTCCTCATGCCCGTCTGCTTCGGGCGCACGGCTTTTGACGCAATGCACGCTCTAGTACATCTCGGTATCCGTGCAATTGGAAACTGGGCACCGAACATTTCGTTTGGCCACGCGTAAACAACGAGCTTCGTGCCTAGTCTTGCGCCTGTCTTCAATGCCAGCACTCCAAAATGCATCCTCACCTCCACAGCCCTTTGGGGTCAGTTCCATCCCCGGACTCTCGATCCTCGCATGTACGCCTAGACCTAATATGTCCATGGCCTCCTTCGTATACATTCTTACATGTGTCTACCGTTTCGACCGATGGCCAGAAGCCATCAACTAATGCCCATCTACCATAACAACTGACCGAGGAATGCCTTCCGAATTTTCAC